ACCATCACCCTGATACCAAAACCAGACAAAGATGTCACAAAGAAAGAAAACTGCAGGCCAATATCACTGATGAACATAGATGCAAAAATCCTCAACAAAATACTAGCAAACAGAATCCAACAGTACATTAAAAGTATCACACACCATGATCAGTGGGGTTTATTCCAGGAATGCAAGGATTCTTCAATATACGCAAATCAATCAATGTGATACACCATATTAACAAACTGGAGGAGAAAAACCATATGATCATCTCCATCGATGCAGAGAAAGCTTTCAACAAAATTCAACACCCATTTATGATAAAAACCCTGCAGAAAGTAGGCATAGAGGGAACTTTCCTCAACATAATAAAGGCCATATATGACAAACCCACAGCCAACATCATCCTCAATGGTGAAAAACTGAAACCATTTCCACTAAGATCAGGAACAAGACAAGGTCGCCCACTCGCACCACTATTATTCAACATAGTTTTGGAAGTTTTAGCCACAGCAATCAGAGAAGAAAAAGAAATAAAAGGAATGCAAACTGGAAAAGAAAAAGTAAAGCTGTCACTGTTTGCAGATGACATGATACTATACATAAAGAATCCTAAAGATGCTACCAGAAAACTACTAGAGCTAATCAATGAATTCAGTAAAGTAGCAGGATTCAAAATTAATGCACATAAATCTCTGGCATTCCTATACACGAATGATGAAAACTCTGAAAGTGAAATTAAGAAAACACTCCCATTTACTACTGCAACAAAAAGAATAAAATATCTAGGAATAAACCTACCTAGGGAGACAAAAGACCTGTATGCAGAAAATTATAAGACACTGATGAAAGAAATTAAAGGTGATACAAATAGATGGAAAGAGATACCATGTTCTTGGATTGGAAGAATCAACATTGTGAAACTGACTATACTACCCAAAGCAATCTACAGATTTAATGCAATCCCTATCAAACTACCACTGGCATTTTTCACAGAACTGGAACAAAAAATTTCACCATTTGTATGGAAACACGAAAGACCCTGAATAGCCAAAGCAATCTGGAGAACAAAAAATGGAGCTGGAGGAATCAGGCTCCCTGACTTCAGACTATACTACAAAGCTACAGTAATCAAGACGGTATGGTACTGGCACAAAAACAGAAATATAGATCAATGGAACAGAACAGAAAGCCCAGAGATAAACCCACGCACATATGGTCACCTTATCTTTGATAAAGGAGGCAAGAATATACAGTGGAGAAAAGACAGCCTCTTCAATAAGTGATGCTGGGAAAACCGGACAGGTACATATAAAAGTATGAGATTAGAACACTCTGTAACACCATACACAAAAATAAACTCAAAATGGATTAAAGACCTAAATGTAAGGCCAGACACTATCAAACTCTTAGAGGAAAACATAGGCAGAACACTCTATGATATAAATCACAGCAAGATCCTTTTTGACCCACCTCCTAGAGAAATGGAAATAAAAACAAAAATAAACAAATGGGACCTAATGAAACTTAAAAGCTTTTGCACAGCAAAGGAAACCATAAACAAGACCAAAAGAGCCATCAGAATGGGAGAAAATATTTGCAAATGAAGCAACTGACAAAGGATTAATCTTCAAAATTTACAAGCAGCTCATGCAGCTCAATATCAAAAAAACAAATAACCCAATCCAAAAATGGGCAGAAGACCTAAATAGACATTTCTCCAAAGAGATATACAGATTGCCAACAAACACATGAAAGAATGCTCAACATCACTAATCATTAGAGAAATGCAAATCAAAACTACAATGAGATATCATCTCACACTGGTCAGAATGGCCATCATCAAAAAATCTAGAAAAAATAAATGCTGGAGAGGGTGTGGAGGAAAGGGAACACTCTTGCACTGTTGGTGGGAATGTAAATTGATACAGCCACTATGGAGAACAGTATGGAGGTTCCTTAAAAAACTAAAAATAGAACTACCATACGACCCAGCAATCCCACTACTGGGCCTGAGAAAACCATAATTCAAAAAGTCATGTACCAAAATGTTCACTGCAGCTCTATTTACAATCGCCAGGACATGGAAGCAACCTAAGTGTCCATCAAGAGATGAATGGATAAAGAAGATGTGGCACATATATACAATGGAATATTACTCAGCCATAAAAGGAAACGAAATTGAGTTATTTGTAGTGAGGTGGATGGACCTAGAGTCTGTCATACAGAGTGAAGTAAGTCAGAAAGAGAAAAACAAATACCATATGGTAACACATATATATATGGAATCTAAGAAAAAAAAAAAAGGTCATGAAGAACCTAGGGGCAAGACGGGAATAAAGACACAGATCTACTAGAGCATGGACTTGAGGATATGGGGAGGGGGAAGGGTAAGCTGTGACAAAGTGAGAGAGTGTCATGGACATATATACACTACAAAACGTAAAATAAATAGCTAGTGGGAGGCAGCCGCATAGCATACGGAGATCAGCTCGGTGCTTTGTGACCACCTAGAGGGGTGGGATAGGGAGGGTGGGAGGGAGGGAGACGCAAGAAGGAAGAGATATGGGAACATATGTATAGCTGATTCACTTTGTTAAAAAGCAGAAACTAACACCATTGTAAGGCAATTATACTCCAATAAAGATGTTAAAAAAAAAGAGATAAGCCAAAAATATTACAGCACTTTTCTTGAGGGATGACATTTTAATTTTCTTCTTCATATAGTTGTATATTTTCCAGATTTATATAATAAGTACTTATAATGTTTATAACCACAGATTTTTTTTATTATATATTTAACTTTAGGGTGAGAGTTTTTCTTTTTAAGTATAGTTGATTTAGAATGCTGTCCCCATGTCTGCTGTACAGCAAAGTGCAAAGAGCTTTTTGAGACCAACCATCTATTCCCATCACTGCTAATAGATTGTTACAACTGTTAATGAGTTGTTCCAGTCTGAGAAACAACTGCGCTGCAAACTTTGGCCATTTGCTGTTTCAGTTGTCCATATTAACGCTGTCTACTTAGGAAAGTACCCTAACTTATATCAACAATACTCAACTTTTTTGTACCATGTGAAGGAAACAAATGCCCGACAGCCCACTCACTTACTCACAAACATTGCTCCTGAGGAAAGGGAGAAGGGTGGTTTTCTAGGCAACTCCAAGCTTTGAGGCTTTGTTGTTTCAAAAATAATTGATGTAAAACAATAAAGTACAGATCTGAACACACTAGAGACAATACCGTAAGCTTAAGCCCTAGTTAGGTTTGGTGTTACCTGCCCAAACATCCTAGCTGATTCATATTGCTTTGCCTTTTTTATGTCATTCATTAAATGTCTGCTCTACACCAGGGTCATGTTAAGGTAGCCTGCAGCTGGAAAGAAGTATGAGTCCCGTCCATCCGGGAGGAGCTGATACAGTTGGGAAGAAGTCAGATACCTATGGAAAGATTAGAGAGGAAATGTGACACTGTTTAGCGGTTCAAATTGGAATCTCCTTCCACAGGTGGAAAATCCTCTACCTTATAAACATGAGACCTCATCTGAACTGTGGCGAGAGCATACGATGAAAATCTGTCCATCAGTACCCCCAGCTCAGACTCTGAGTTAGGACTCATGACAAGCAGCAGCCAGAATCATGCAGTATTCACTCTGGCCAGGGGGCAGCAGCTACATCTAGGGTCAGAGGCAGCAGTGGCACCGGTGGTGTCGCCAGTGCAAGAAGTACCACGTTTGTTCAGTGGTGGCGACAGACGTCTCTTAGAACAGCCCTGCAGCCTGATTTTGGCTGTTGTCTGTGATGCTGTAGTTGACAAGCCTGGTTCTTCAGTCCTGCCTGCTGATAGATATCACTTAATAAATTTCTTTTCTGCTTAAATTAGGGGTTGGCTTCCATGTTTACAACCACAAACCCTGACCAATTCAACATCCACAGAAATGGGGCAGTAAGTGTCGAATAAATGCTTCAGAAAAATGTATAAACAATAATAACTGAGGTGGCCAAAGTCTATAACGAGGTATGATTTGAGCTGGGAAGAATATGGTTAGGCAGAGAGGAGAAGGAAGCCAGTTCAGGTAGAAATGTCCGTTTACAAAAGCAGAGAGGCAGGAAAAGACAAAACGTATCTGGGAGCCAGTAAATAGTAAGGGAGCAATTAAAGACAGACAGAGTTAGGGTCAGATTTTGGAAGGACATAAGGAAAGCGGGGGTTGGGAACAACAATCCAGTGGGGGTAAAATTCACTGGAGGGCAGGGGATTATTTGTGAGACTGACTCCTTCCGGGAAGCCTAGCACAAGGAGATAAGGACATAATCCAGGCTGATGGTGGCAGACACTGAGGGGGAAGGGGAGGCAGGAGATAAACACGAGCTATTTCAAAGGAAGCTGTCTATCCCGGGCCACCACCTACAATGGTAACACTGGGGAAGAAAGATTTCAGAGGGAAGATGCTGAGTTTGGCTTGGAATACTTTTAGTGTAAAGGGTTGGCAGGACATCTAAGAGGGAACATACTGAAAGGAGCGGAACACTCAGGACCAACATTAAGTGAATGGCCAAGACTCAGAAGTCAGAGTAGAGATGATTACTAAGTACAATGAGAGCTACTAGATAAACTGAGAGAGAGGAAAAGTCAGGAGCAAAGCCTCAAAGGCTGTCAGATTAGGGGGTGTGCAGAAAGAGTTAACACAGCACACCTGGCTGCTATCTTTGAAAGGCCTCCGTCCAAGGCTGGCCCATAGCTGCTGTCTAGGAACTTGGATTTGGAGAGAGCACCCACCACCCTAGGTGAGAAGGGTGGGTTACCCACCTAAACTGTTTGTGCAAACACTATGGTTTATGCTAAAAACCTGCTTTCCTGTTTAGAGTCTGGAGTTTGGGTATGTGCTAGGCAGACGCTATCTACGCATCAAGCCCTCAATAAAAACCCTGGGCAGTGAGTCCCTAATGAGCTTCCCTGGTAAAGAACATTTCACACGTGCTGTCACAACTAGTTGCTGGGAGATTAAGTCCATCGTGTGTGACTCCACTGGCCGAATACCCTTGAAATCCTACGCTGTTTCCCCCTGGACTTCGCCCCATGTGCCTTTTCCCTTTGTGATTTTGCTTTACATCCTTTCACTGGGATATATCATAGCCATGGGTATGACTCTATGCTGGTGAATCATCAAAACTGAGGGTGTGTGGGAGACCTCGATGCAGGGGGTGAGAAGAGAAAGAAGAGAGAAGGATCTATCAGAGAGGGCAGGTGTATCAAGGAAGTTGATTTCAAAAACTGGAGGACTGTCAATGTCTTTAACATGGAAAAATAAGGAAGATCCCCCCGGCTGCCCCCCCAAATGATACTAAAATGGATATCATACCCTCTGATCCAGTGATTCCACTTCTACAGATTTATCCTGTAAAATACTAGCACATGTGCAGAAAGATGCATCTACAAGGATGTACAGCACAGCACTGGATACAATCATGAAAGGAAATAGCTCTTTAACAGGGGACTGGTTAAATAAGTTACAGTACCTCCATACAGTGGACAAATTATGCAGCCATTAAAAATAAGTGAGTAAACTCTAAACATGCTGGTATCTGCAAAATGTATTAAATGAAAAAAAGCAAGGTATAGCAGTTTATATGGTATGATACATGCATGTAAAGAAACAGGGTATACAAAAGGTGACACACACAACACATGCACACACAACACACATATTCTCAGGAAGGATATACAAAAATCTGGGAGGAAATGATTGCCTTTAGGGAGGGCAACTGAGCACCAGGTAGAAGAAAAATTCATGTTTGTTTTTTTTTAAATAAATTTATTTATTTTATTATTTATTTAGGCTGTGTTGCGTCTTTTGTTGCTGTGCACGGGCTTTCTCTAGTTGCAGTGAGCAGGGGCTACTCTTAGTTGCAGTGCACGGTCTTCTCATTGCGATGGCTTCTCTTGTTGCAGAGCACGGGCTCTAGGCACATGGGCTTCAGTAGCTGTGGCACACGGGCTCTAGAGCACAGGCTCAGTAGTTGTGGCGTATGGGCTTAGCTGCTCCGCAGCATGTGGGATCTTCCCAGACCAGGGCTTGAACCCGTGTCCCCTGCATTGGCAGGCGGATTCTTAACCACTGCGCCACCAGGGAAGCCCAAAATTCATGTTTTAATGAAACCCTTAAATACTGCTTGAATTTTTAAAAATGATTTACACATATTTTCTTTATACTTTTAAAATAATAATAAAAAAGGAAAAGCCACTGAGTTTGATGACATCAATGAATTTAAAATTTTAAAGACAGATTATCTTCAAACTGTTAGGGGCTTGACAGCGTGGAAGGACACTGAGCGAAATGGAAAACCACAAAACGGAAGCTGGTTTGGGAAGGACGATGGGAGTTTCATTTTGAACTCACAGTCTTCAAGGCCTGGCAGGGCATCTAAGAGGGCTGGAGATTCACCCTGGGTGAGAGGGCAGAAATGTACGCAGACTGTATGCAAACTGTATTCATATTCTGGTCAGTAAAGACATCAGAGAAATAAAGACAGACACTGAAGACAAGATTGATAAAGAAATTAAGAGAGTAAAAAATCAGAGGGCAGGGAGGGATAAATTAGGCGCTTGGGATTAATAGATACACACTATTATATATAAAATAGATAATCAACAAGGACCTACTGTAGAGCACAGGGAACTCTACTCAATATTCTGTAATAACCTATGTGGGAAAAGAATCTGAAAAAGAATAGATATGTGTATATGTAAAACTGATTCATTGTGCTGTATACCTAAAACTAAAAGAACATTGTAAATCAACTGTACTCCAATATAAAATTAGAATAAAAAAAAGAATTAGGATTCAGAAAAAAAAAATCAGAGGGCAGAGCCATGGTGAGGAAATTAAGGCAGCAGAAATCGACTCTCTCAAGATGGAGGTCAGGGACTTCCCTGGTGGTCCAGTGGTAAAGAATCCGGCTCCTGAGGCAGGGCACGCGGGTTCGATCCCTGGTGGGGGAGCTAAGGTCCCACGTGCCGTGGGGCAACTAAGCCCGAGTGCCACAAACTACAAGGCCCACACGCTCTGGAGCCTGCGCCCCACAACTAGAGAGAGAAAACCCACACAACTCTAGTCACAACTAGAGAGAAGCCCGCGCACCACAACGAAAGATCCCGCGTGCTGCAACTAAGACCCAACACAGCCAAAATTAAAAATAAAAAATAAATAAAATATTAAAAAAACAAAAAAGGTAAGTCAGCAAAAGAAGAACAAGGGAACAAAGACGGGGAAGGACCTTCAGAGGTTAAAAAGAAAAGATTTTATTGTTTTGTTTTGTAAGGTTAAATTGCAAGGTAGAAACGGAAGTACTTAGAATACTAAGGAAAAAAGGATCAGTGTGGAAGTAAGGTTCTGAAGGAAATTGGAACAGATGAGCTTTTCAGGGCCAGGTGGGATTAATGTTAATAAGTGGTTTGTTAATTAGGAGTGACAACCAATCGGTTTAATTTCTAAATAACTTCTCAACTAACACTTAATCACGTTTTAACTCTATAAACAGCAATAATAAAATATTTAAGCAGATATTGAGTTGCCAAACAAGAGATTTCACTGAGAGCATTTCTGGTATGAAGATACCGTCTTCCAAATTATTCACTCAATTTGAGCAGAAAGAAAACTGAGCCGGGCTCCTCTGGTGGTGCAGTGGTTAAGAATCCACCTGCCAATGCAGGGGACACAGGTTCGAGCCCTGGTCCAGGAAGATCCCACATGCCGCGGAGCAACTAACCCTGTGCACCACAACTACTGAGCCTGTGCTCTAGAGCCCATGAGCCACAACTACTGAGCCCGCGTGTCACAACTACTGAAGCCCATGCACCTAGAGCCCGTGCTCCTCAACAAGAGAAGCTACCACAATGAGAAGCCCGTGCTCTGCAACGAAGAGTAGCCCTCGCTTGCCACAACTGGAGAAAGCCCACGTGCAGCAACAAAGACCCAACGCAGCCAAAAATAAAATAAAATAAATTAATTTTTTTAAAAAAAGGAAAAGAAAAGTGAGCCGGACTTTTTTAAGTCTTGGAATTCTATCAACTGAACTAGTCAATGAAATATACTAAGTAGGAAAAAATTACACAGGCCAGTTATACAATTTATCTTTTCCAAGAGTTAATATGGAGAGAGGGCTTCCCTGGTGGCGCAGTGGTTGAGAGTCTGCCTGCCGATGCAGGGGACATGGGTTCATGCCCCGGCCTGGGAGGATCCCACATGCCGCGGAGCGGCTGGGCCCATAAGCCATGGCCGCTGAGCCTGCGTGTCCGGAGCCTGTGCTCCGCAACAGGAGAGGCCACAACAGTGAGAGGCCCGCGTACCACAAAAAAATATATATATATCTATATGGACAGAATTTGTCTACCACAATTTTTAAAATATATTTTAAGTCATTTTTATTGAATTAATTTTAATAACACTGTTTTACCTGGTTGGCAGCTGCCCCAAACCAAACTAAAACAAAGTCATTGTGAATGCTATTCAACATCCTCAAAGTAATCCAGCTTGTTTTTGGAATATATTGTTACAATAGTTACACTTTTTTAAAAAAATAGTTACACTTTCGACATCACACAAGTAAATAGAGCATACTATGTTATTCAAAAAGATTTTATGCATTTCATTTAAAAAATCATTTTGCAAGAGGCTTCAGCTTTATCATTGACACATTCTGTACTTCATGCTCTCAAAATAAAAAAGTGTCCTAAAGCTAAGTTTTTTACTGATATTAATGAATAGTATGCAGGGTTATACGAACTAAAATTTAACATTTTACGGTATAAGAGGCAATAAATGTGGACCAAAACTTTGGAAACATTAAGAAATAAAAACAGAAAGATGGCAGTTCCCTGTCTTCACAAGGCTTAATAAAGAGTATAGCAGAAACTCAATAAACACTTCCCTGTTGTTGAACTGATCACTAACAAAGTAACCAGAATGCAACGAAATATTTACTTTGGAAAGTTATCACGACCTATCCTCAGAACAGCACAAGGCCACCGGGAGCCCTGAATGCAGCTGCTGCTCGAAAGCAGCACTACTTCTGCAGGCCCCTGTCCTCAGGAAATGAAACGTCAGCTGATTTTTGTTTCAACTCTGTAGTCGAGGGTGCTAACCCCAGAAATTACAGGAATCATCATTACACTCTAATACCAAGACATGCAGGAATTTTAAGCTATAAAATTATTTTCTAAATAACATTCAAATAAGACATCTCTGTGATGAAGGGCAGAGCTGAAGGGCATTAACCCGACCATCCAAGCCTCCTGGCTTGCACCAACATTACTTCAGTCCCCCTTGGCAGGCAGCGTTGTTTTTTTTTTTTTTAAATCTTCGCAGAAAGTCAGTCTACAACTTTGAGATGTTTTTAACTCTTAAGATGCGCAAAATTATTTTAAATGTCTAGCTGACTTCAAATTCATCAAGTCTTCCTTTTTAAACATACTACGATTGAAGGCTATTTCTTCTAAGCCTCATTCCTGCACAATGACAGTAAACCTTAGGGGGAAAAGAAAGAGCTACAGCTACAAGTAAATAACAAAAAATTGAATCCACTTACACTAATAAGACTGGTTTAAAGCCTTACTTGAAGCCTTACCAAGAATCTCCTATAAAGGGTTTACAAGAAAAAACAAAAAACGGCAGCAACTTTGTCTCAGACCTAAATTCAGGATTCAGCTTCAGACACATGGAAACTAGACATTTCTAAAGTTTCTCACACCACATGAAACTGAACAAGTTCATTACTTCCCAGGATGTATACTGAAATTTCCAGCAATTACATTCAGGGGTTCCTGGACCAGCCTGAGGCTGGGACGTGACCATTAGTTTTCCTCATTCTCCATCTCACCACTGGCTTTTGACATTCCCCTGCTCAACTACCAAGCAGGATTTGAAAGGCAGAGGGAAAAGCTGAGAAATTAACTTCTCGTGAACAGGTCTAATTTAAAAAGAAAATTAAAATGTGTAGACAAAGAAATCCACTTTCCCCTGAAAATTATGTCTTAGGATGGTCTGAGCCTTCCCTCCACTGTCCTCCCAAGTTCTCCGTTCATAACACGTCTTATCGTCTTATACAGTTGACCCTTGAACAACACAGGTTTGAACTGTGCAGGTTTGAATCCACTTATACTCAGATTTTTTTCAATAAACACACACCACCTGATGGGCGGTTGGCTGAATCCTCAGATGCAGAACCTTGGGTACCGAGGAGGGCTGACTAGGGAACTTAAACATCTGTGGAGCTCCAAGGGCTGGATCTGGTTTTCAGTCAGGGCCCACTGCAGTCCCACCACATAGCAGGTGCTTTATGTTTACTGAATTTTACTTCTGCCCCTATCCCCCAGCAGTGGATAATTACTATCCAGTTGGACTTGCTCTCAACCCTGGCATAGGCAAAAAGTGGTTTTATAGAAATTACTTACCGGGTTACAGACGACATTCTGTAGACTGTTTAAGGACAACATCATTCTTTTCCACCTTACTGTTGACTGGGGTCTCTCTTTTGGGTATGGTCTAAGATTTTAAACAAGTTTCATTTAAAGAATTCCCAGATTGAAACTGAGGCACCTGACCTGTGTAAAATCAAAATAGAGGGAAAGGAAAATAAGCACCATTTTTCTTATAACTATTTTTTTTTTTTTTTTTTTGCCGTACGCGGGCCTCTTACTGTTGTGGCCTCTCCCGTTGCGGAGCACAGGCTCCGGACGCGCAGGCTCAGCGGCCATGGCTCACGGGCCCAGCCACTCCGCGGCATGCAGGATCTTCCCGGACCGGAGCACGAACCCGTGTCCCCTGCATCGGCAGGCGGACTCTCAACCACTGCGCCACCAGGGAAGCCCCTTCTTATAACTATTTTTAAGTACATAAATTATTTTACTGATATTTACCAAATAACAGGATGCTATAACAAAGATCTGACTCCAGTTCTTATCTAATGTACTTTACTAAATAATTTTGGATTATGAGTACAGGAAATATTGATTTTAAAACTACATCATTAGAAAACTTCTAATTTGGAAAATTTATTAAAAATACTTATTACTGGGAGTTCCCTGGTGGCCTAGTGGTTTCACTGCTGTGGTCTGTGTTCAATCCCTGGTCGGGGTACAGGGATCCCGCAAGCCAGGCGGCACAGCCAAAAAACACAGAAACAAAAATTTGTTATTAAAATACTATATCAGGGCTTCCCTGGTGGCGCAGTGGTTGAGAGTCCGCCTGCCGATGCAGGGGACACAGGTTCGTGCCCCGGTCCGGGAAAATCCCACATGCCGCAGAGCGGCTGGGCCCGTAAGTCATGGCCACTGAGCCTGTGCGTCCAGAGCTTTCGCTCCGCAACGGGAGAGGCCACAACAGTGATAGGCCCGCGTACCACCAAAAAAAAAAAAAAAAAAAAAAAAATACTATATCAAATAATAGCAAATACTCCTGTACAGCTATCTGAGATATTCATTTAACTTTTCTCATCTGTATAATGAGAATAACAGTATTCACCTCACAGGTTTGTTCTGCAGATTAAATGAATTAATAAAGCAATGGAATAGTACGTGCTTTATAAGTTTTATCTATTGTTATTAGTAGAAGGGATTGCTCTTCCTCCTCCAAATTAAACAAGTCAAAAGGAAAAAAAAATCCAATGCCTCAAATATTAACTTCCATGTGGCTAAAAAAAAGATAAAAGCTTTAAAGGTAAAAGTACCCATCAGTACTACATATAACAGCTCCAGGGAAGACTTGAAGACTAAGCAGAACCAAAAGAGAAATGAAACTCAAGCTTCCTACATTTTACTTCCTCCGATTCTGTCATTATACCAAAGGGCAATACGCACTGATCACATGTATTACTTTTTCTCTATTAAGAAAAAACTGCATCTGCAACCCTGGATGTAACATAAACTGAGTGGTTAAGTTACAGCAAGAGGTGTTAGCTGAGCAGATGCAGGTTGTGAAAGAATTCACAGAAGTATTAACAAGGGAAGAAAAGAAAGTTTTTATTCACTTTCCAAGGGAGGAAAGGGGCCAGACACATAGAGTGGCATCGGCCCTGAAGGGTGGCGGTCTGAGTCTTTTAACGGGTTTCAAAGGGCAAAGTGCAGGAAAGAGCGGGTGGGTTCACATCTATTTTGGCCCACAGTTGTATTCTGGCTTGCTGTGTTTCTATAGGATGTGGTTCTTCTGAGAATCTGTAACTTTTTGTCTTCAGTAATTTTTCAGTCCTTGGGTGTCTCAAAGAGACATGATAGTGGCCTTTGACAGGCATTACTCTATTTTGAACAATGTCAGATGGGCTCACAAGAGGGATTTTGCAGGTGTAATTAACATCAGCTGATGTCAAGATAGGGCGATTGTCCTGGATTAACTGGTGGGCCCAATGTAATTACATGAGCGCTTAATAAACAAAGAAGCCTGAGAGATGCAGTAGCAGAAGAAATCAGAGATTTGAAGCCTGAGAAAGATTCAACACATTCTTGGTGGCATTTCGATGGAGTGCGGGTGGGCATACACGGAAACTGCAAGAAGGAAACAAACCTGGAAAACAAACTAAAGTATCCCGGAAGTTGATTCTTCCCCAGAGAATAGAGCCCAAACTGGATAACACCTGAACTTCAGCTTGTGACACCCTAATCAGAGTACTCAGCCTGGTCTGCCTAATTTTATTTTTGGTCCCCCTAATGTCTGGTCTAAGATCTATTAAGAAAATAAGTGGGTGTAATCAAAACATCAAGTTTTATGCGCTAAATGTATACAATTTCTATTTGTCACATATACCCCAATAAAGCTGGGAAAACAAAAACCCTGCAGCCCTCTTGGTTTATAAATGTAACCCCATCTATTAACTTACACATTAGTCAAAACCTCAAAACTTTTGCTCCATCAAACTCGGGAAGCATCAACAAGAGCAAAAACAAAGGATACAGAGATGCCACAGCCACATTCATAATTTACATCGTTAGTGGAGAGTGACCCAATTTAAGCCACAGGCCCGCGTGAAACCAATCATTCCCAGAAACATCCACAGGCATGGGTCCTGGTGTTATTAACTCTTCGTTCGCTTCCCAAGAAGCCATCACGATGCTGTTGCAATTCTGAGGACAAACGTTTCCTACCGTTTCACACTGCAGTAAATGACTCTGCATCTCAAAAGAGGATGTTCAGAGCCCGGGAGGGCCACGGAGGTCTGTCATTAAATTTAAAGAACCCGTCATTTAAAACACCAAGAAAGAAACGTCCCCGGATTCCACTGCGCGAAGGCGGCGCTCGCTCCCGGGCGAGGAGGTCGCACGAGCCAAGACAGCACCGGACGAGGCGGTGGTCGACAGCGGGGCTTCCTCCGGGGACAGCGCCGGTTTGCCCGAGGGCTGCGACTCCCGACCATCCCTCGTTCCCGGGTCGCAGCGCGCGGGGCACTGCCAGCCGCCCAGCCCGACCCTCCGCGGTGAAGACCCGCGCGACAGGGTTACCGGAGCCGGTCCCGCCCGTCTGACTCTGACACGGGGCCAGAAACACCGCATCCCCTCCTCGGCCGACGAGCCCACCGCCGCGACCGCCCGCCGACTCACCCCGGGACTGGCGTCGCGCTCGGCGTAGGAGGCTGTTCTGCGGCCGCGGCGCGTTGTCCGGGTTCCCGGCCGGGCGTGCGTGGGCGAGAACGGGAAGCGAGAGGAGTCAGTCCGCCGCCATTTTCTGGTTCGCGCGCCCCTGGCGTCGCCGTCGGCCTTGCGTCTGCGTGCGGGGCGCGCTGGCGGCTCCGCTGGGCTAGTAGCTGGTCCGCTGCTGGCCGCTCCCCCGGCGGGGCGCCCTGCACGGCCTCGGGGACTCGGACCGCCAGTGGCTTGCTGCGAGACAAGCAGAGAGGGAGGGGGCAGAGTGTGTGCTTCCAAAATTCCCGGGTGGATCTGGCCGCCTCTGCCCCGCCGCCGGGGTTGGGGGGCCGGGAAATGGGGAAGAGAGAAGGAGAGACCTTCTGCTCCCTCGGCCCGCGTGTCCCCGGCCTCCAGGGCCGGTGTGGACTTCGCACAGGCCCCGCCTCGACCCGGTGATGGCCGAAAGGGGCCCACGCGGCCAGAGGGGCCGTCTGTGACCTTCCCTGGTCGCCCGGCTCAGCGGGGTCAGTGCCAGGTATTTCTCAAGGTCTGCTTCCTTGTCTGCCATGGGTTAGAGTCCAAATAGTACATACAGTGCAATAAAAGAGAAGCTGACTTGGAGGCATCCCGGTGTTTTGTTTGCCACACCTTTGGGTGTAAATAAAATGCGGGGGGAAATGGGTTCAGTATAGCTGGACTGAGTCCAGCCCGGAGCCCCTATCTAGTGAGTCTAACTTGGACTTCAGCCACTGCGGCTTATCTGCCAATTTTGTGTGTTGTTGTTTTCTAAGTTATATACTACCCCGAGGGAAATGTCAGCAGTATAGAGCACAATTCTGAGCACGGTAGATGTTCAGAAATAACCAACTTTTCAGGCAAGTGCCCATAATGACTGCCAGTTTGACCTGTTGGCTGTAAAAAACGTCAGCGAGAAATACAAATAAAGTTATGTAAGCTACCTTGAACAGCTGGTACAGTTTGTTTTCTGTTAGGGATCACAAAGTTCTTATCTTCCTACTTGTCTCTACTTGATTTTTATCCACGTTTCCTTTGAGAGACATGTTTTGGTGTCCCTACTCTGGGCTTTCTCCTCTGTAGCTTTGGGTTTTATTATTTTTTATTTAAATTGAGAAATTCATTACACACCCAATACCATCGAACTCACATTCTGATTCCCTATTACTTTGCTCTCCTATTCATTTTCCAAGTTTGCTTCACTCTTTGGGATCCAACTTCAATAGCTGTATTTAACCCTTAACATACACTGCCTGGGATTTGTACTTATCTTTCTGTGTGTTGTTTTATCTATCCAACTCGAATTTAAATTGAGAAGAGGATGTCGTGAATATTCCCCAATGCCTAGTGTAATGCTTTGCATGAAGTAGACATTCTGTAAATATTAGGTTGAAATGATAGGTTATTGATAAAGTGAGGAGCAATTGAATGTCTTCACAACTTTGCCTGGGTTGGTTACCTCCCCCATACAAAGTAAGCTGAAATAAATACACATCAATGCTCCACTTCTTTGGTAAGTAGAATTTAGGTATAAATAGGACTGTGCAAAAGGGCCAGAAATCCTGTATTGGTGCAGTAATTCTGGATTAAAAGATCCACACATCCAGAGAATTTATCTTAGAAAAACCCCTTCGTTGGTCCGGTTTTGTTCAATGAGCTCCGTATGTTTTTTATATCTTTTAGAATCAACAAGTATGTACTCGATGTCCGCCATGACAAGGCACAGTGATAAGTATACAAAGGGCTTTGTAACATTTGCCGTACCGAGCCGGGCCCTCTAGACGCAGAGAAGCGATATAAATATACGGAAGTCCCACTCCTCTTCCTTGGATTATTACAATAGCCTCTTCATTGATTTCCCTGCTTTTTTTTTTTTGCGGTACGCGGGCCTCTTATTGCTGTGGCCCCTCCCATCGCGGAGCACAGGCTCCAGACGCGCAGGTTCAGCGGCCATGGCTCACGGGCCCAGCCGCTCCGCGGCATGTGGGATCTTCCCGGACCAGGGCACGAACCCGTGTCCCCTGCATCGGCAGGCGGACTCCCAACCACTGCGCCACCAGGGAAGCCCAGATCTCCCTGCTTTTACCCTTCCCCCTGCAGTCTGTTCTCAACAAAACAGTCAGAGAGATCATGGGGAAACACAGCCTAAACAATGTTACTTTGCTCAAACCTTCCACTAGCTTTTGCTCGTTCTTTGAGTAAAGATCCAAGTCCTTACACTTCATGACCCGCCTCCACCTCCACACGCTCTGACTTCATTTCCTACTACATTCCTCCTCCCTTGTTCTGTAACAACCGTACTGGCCTTTGTGGTGTTCTTACCGCCTGCCTGTCACACTCCCAGCTCAGAACTTTTGCATGTGATGTTTCCTTTACCTCCTTAAAATTGAGTAATGACAGTGAGTAATGTCGATTCTTAGTGAGGCCCTTCCTGACCACCGTATTTAAAATTACAAACACCCTCCCAAAACACACACACACACACACACACACACACACACACACACAATCCCTATCACTCTTTCTTGCTTTATTTCTCTCTAGCATTTACCACATTCTAATATGCTACATTATTTACCTTTTTATTTTATATTACTTCATCCACCAGACTACAAACTCCATGAGGACAGGGAGTTTTTTTGTTTGTTTGTTTGTTTCTTTGCGGTACGCGGGCCTCTCACTGTTGTGGCCTCTCCCGTTGCGGAGCACAGGCTCCATTCGCGCAGGCTCAGCGGCCATGGCTCACACGCCCAGCCGCTCCGCGGCACGTGGGATCTTCCCGGACCGGGGCACGAACCTGCGTCCCCTGCATCAGCAGGCGGACTCTCAACCACTACGCCACCAGGAAAGCCCGGACAGAGAGTTTTGACTGTTCTTGTTTCAATCGTGCTTAATCCAGTGGGGGACACAGATGGTGATACATTCCGGAGAAGATTAAGATAGGATGATGGCGTTTCCCTGGTGGCGCAGTAGTTGAGAGTCCGCCTGCCGATGCAGGGGACACGGGTTCGTGCCCCGGTCTGGGAGGATCCCACATGCCGCGGAGCGGCTGGGCCTGTGAGCCATGGCCGCTGAGCCTGCGCGTCTGGAGCCTGTGCTCCGCAACGGGAGAGGCCACAACAGTGAGAGGGGCCCGCGTACTGAAAAAAAAAAAAAAAAAAAAAAAAGATAGGATGATGTATAATTGGGAGCACTTGGGTGTCTACATTAGTTGCATGCCTAGGAAAACTTCTCCAAAGAGGTAAAGTTTAAGTTGGTAGTGAATGAAAGAAAGGAGACAGCTAACCAAAAGGAAAAGACAGCTTATGGCGTGGGAGAAATATTTGCAAACAATGCCACCGACAAGGGCTTAATTTCCAAAATATATAAACAGCTCAATATCAAAAAAACAAAAAACCCAACAACCCAATCAAAAAATGGGCAGAAGACCGAAATAGACATTTCTCTAAAGAAGACATACAGATGGCCAACAGGCACATGAAAAGATGTTCAACATCTCTAAGAGAAATGCAAATCAAAACTACAATGAGGTATCACCTCACACCAGTCAGAATGGCCATCATCAAAAAGTCCACAAGTAACAAACGCTGGAGAGGGTATGGAGAAAAGGGAACCCTCCTACGCTGTTGATGGCAATGTGAATTGGTGCAGCCACTATGGAAAACAGTATGGAGGTTTCTTAAAAACTAAAAATAGAGTTACCATATGATCAAGCAATCTCACTCCTGGGCATGTATCTGGAAAAGACAAAAACTCTGATTTGAAAAGATACATGCACCCCAAAGTTCATAGCAGCACTATTTACAATAGCCAAGACATGGAGACAACCTAACTGTCCACTGACAGATGAATGGATAAAGAAGATCTGGTTCATATATACAATGGATTACTCAGCCATAAAAAAGAATGAAATAATGCCATTTGCAGCAATATGGATGGACCTAGAGATTATCATACTAAGTGAAGTAAGTCAGAGAAAGACAAATATATCACTTCTATGTGGAATCTAACAAAAATAATACAAATGAACTTATTTACAAAACAGAAACAGACTCACAGACATAGAAAAAAAATTTATGGTTACCAAAGGGGAAAAGGGGGGAGGGATAAATTAGGAGTTTGGGATTAACAGATACACAGTACTATATATAAAATAGATAAACAACAAGGTCCTACTGTATAGCACAGGGAACTATATTGAACATCTTATAATAACCTATAATGGAAAAGAATCTGAAAAAGGATATGTATATGAATCACTTTGCTGTACACCTGAAACTAACACAACATTGTAAATCAGCCATACTTCAATTTAAAAAAAGAAAAGAAAAGAAAGGAGGCAGCTACATGAAGATCTTGGGGGAGAGCATTCTCAGCTGAGGGAACAGCTAATGCAAAGTCTCTAAGGCTCTAGAGAATACATTTAGTGTGTTCAGGCACAGAGAGGCCACCAGCATGGCTAAGCATAATAAAAGAGGGGGAAATTATATGACATGAAGTCATGGAATTGGATGAGGTCACCTGGGCGAGTAGATAGATGGAGGAGTTGACCTAGGACAGAGCCCTAGGGAGATTAAAAAACAAAACAAAACAATAAAAGAGGCTGGGAAGAGGCGACCATGGAGACCTGCTGAAAATGTGTCTTAGCAACCAAAGAAAGGAAGTGTTTCAAGAGAGTAGAACAACCAGTTGTGGTGTTAAGAGGTCAAGGAACACAGAAATAACCAATAGATTTAGCAACGTGGAGGTCATTGGGGACTGACTCTGAAGTGCGTTGAGACGTGAGGTAAAGAAGTAGTGGGACTAATGACTATAAATATCTCAAGAAATGTCGCTGTGAAGAGGAGCAAAGAAGTGCAGAGGCTAGGGAAGCAGTGGGGTAAAGGGAATATTTTGATTGTCTTGTTTTGTTTTTGTTTGTTTTTTAAAAGAGCAGATACTACAGTGGTGCCTTTTAGACTTTTATCAAGTAAACCACAATAAGAAATAAATACATTTAGGGAACCTAAATGTATTTAGTCCAGTGGTTTAGTCCTAAATTTAGTCCAGTGGTTAGGACTCCGTGCT